GGAGCACGGCCGCGTCGTCGAAGGCGGTGAACCCGCGCGACCGGAGCGCGGCGCCTAAAAGCCGCGACGCCGTCTCCTGGCCCAGGGGCGGCAACAGCGCGAAGCCCGGCGACAGCGCGCGGTGCAGCGCGGCCGCCGCGTCGCCGCGGAGCGCCGCGGCGTGCGTCGCCAGCGCCCGGAGCCGCCGCGTCGACAGGAGCAGGGGCGCCAGCGTCGGGTCCGCGTCGAGCGCCCCGCCGACGGCGTCGCCGAAGTCGAGCGCGGCCTCGAGCAGCGGCGCGCGCGCGTCCGCGTCGCCGCCGCGCGCCTCGACCTCCCCCCGGAGCAGCGCCGCGTGCTCGCGCCGGTCCAGGGGGTCGACGCCGTGGACGTGGAAGACCGTGAGCACCTCGTCGTCGAGCCAGTCGCCGCCGGGCTCCGCCGTCGCGAGCACGCGGAACGACGGGTGCGCGGGCTCCACGCGCGCCGCGCGGAGCGCGTCCTCGGAGAAGCCGCGCGATAGCAGGTCGTCGTAGTGCTCCCGCGCGACGAGCCGCTCGCCGGACGGCAGCGACAGCGACCGGTCGCAGAGCAGGGGCGCCACGGCGCCGCAGAGCGTGCCCCGCGCGAGGCGGTGCGCGCCGTCGAGCACGCAGAGGCCGCCGCGCCGCGCGGCCGCGACGAGCGGGCCGTCGCTCCAGACCGTGTTGCCGAGTGCGTCCGTCGTCCGCCGCTGCGTGAGGTCGCGCGCGGACATGTCCTTGAAGCAGAAGACGGGGTAGACGCCGCCCGCGCCGCCGCCGCGCCGCCGGCTGTAGCCGAACGCCGACGCAAAGGCCCGCGCGATCGCGGTCTTGCCGCAGCCTGTGTGGAACTCAAATCTTCAAACCGACTTCAATGTTAGCTTTATCGAACGGATCGCGCCAAGTTGTTCTGCTGGGCTTCGAGAGCTCGATGAGAGCAATCGATTCGTCCAAAAATCAGCCGAATCGACTTCGATTTGACCGAGCGAGAGGATTTCAAAGTTTGGTCGGGACGTCCAAAACCAGTGGTTGATTTCCACACTGGCCGCAGCCGCGGGGGCCGACGAGGCAGCAGTCCATGCCGACGGCGTGGTCCTGGGCGAGGGCGTCGAGCACGCGGCGCTGGCTCGCCGTCAGCGCGCACGCCGCGGGCGCCCAGGGCAGCGCGCCGCCGCCGTGGGGCGCGGCGACCGGCGCGGCGACGCCGGCGAAGCGCGCGCCGCAGGACCGGTAGCCGCCGCCGTCCGCGGCCGCGGGCGCCTCGACCCCTTCGAGGCCGTGGGCCGCCGGCGGCGCGCCGGGCAGCGCCGCCGGCGGGCGCTTCTTCTTCGACGACGACCGCGCGGCCTCGGCGAGGCGCGCGAGCGCGTCGCGCGCGCGCGCGCGGAGCTCGGCCTTCTCGCGGCAGTCGTCGGACCGCAGGCCCGCCTCTTTGATCGTCGCGCGGAGCCGCGACACGGGCCAGCCGTCGACGCCGTCGTCGCCCGGCGCCGCGGCCGCCGCGAGTCGCGCGAGCGCCGCCGCGGCCAACTCGAGGCCGCCGCCGCTCAGGCCGAGGCGCCGCCAGGGCCACGCGCGGTGGAGCGCGTCCAGCGGCGCGAGCCCCGGGAACGCGCCGAGGAGCCGCGCGACGCTCAGGAGGCCGAGCTCCGGGAAGCGCGGGAGCGACGCGTCGCCCCTGAGCGCCGTGACGACCTCGACGAGCGCGCGCAGCGTCGTCGGGTCCGCGCCGGGCGCGGCCGCCGCGAGGAGCCGGTACTCGTCGTCGGGCGGCGTTGGTTCGAGCTTGAGCGCGGCGAAGCGGCTCCGCAGCGGCGGGTCGAGGGGGTTGCCCGCGTAGCGCGGCGCCGGGAGGCCCAGCGCGACGACGAAGAACCCTGGGTCGACGCGCCGGAGCCGGCCGCCGCCCTCGGCCGCGCGCGGCGACAGGAACGTGCCGTCCTCCAGCGCCATCTCGCGGTTCTCCAGCAAGTTGTTCAGCAGCGGCAGCACGTTCCGCTCCGCCTTCTCGACGCCCTCGAGGACGAGCACGCGGCCGTGGACCGCGGCCTCGACGGGCGCCTGGTCCGCGAAGAAGACGCCGCCGTCCCGGATCTCCCGCCGCTGCTTCAGGTCCGCCTCCGTGGTGTCGCGCGTGACGCCAACGTAGGACACCTCGAGGCCCAACGCCGCGCAGAACTGGAGCACGCACTGCCGCGCGTGCGGCCCGGGGTCCCCGAGCAGGAACGCGTCCTGCTTCAGCGCGAGCTTCTGGTGGAGCCAGCGCATGGCGCGCGGCGGCGCGACGACGTCCGCGCCGCGGATGCGCGCGGGCCAGGGCACGCGCGTCGCGTCCGTGCGCGCCGCCGTGAGCCGCCGCATGACGTCGACGCGCGGCGGCGGCCGCGGCGGCTTCGCCTTCGCCTTGGGCTTCTTCGCCACGGGTTGCGCGTCGCTCGCCGGCGCCGCGTCGCTCGCCTCGACGGCCTCGAGGACCTTCCTGCTCACCCAGCCCGCGGGCGGGCCGGCGACCCGCACGCGCTCGCGGCCGTCGGAGAGCACGGTCCGCTCCAACGAACGCAGGATGGTGTGCCGCGGAATCTCGCCTTGCTTCGCGCTGTCGAGCTCCGCGGTGGCGCGCACGACGGCGCCATTCTTGGCGGCGACGCGGAACATCCGAGGGTCGTGTTTCCTCAGAAAGGGGAGGGCCAGCCCTCCTCCATCACAGACTGATGGGCACCATCAACAACGTACACGTTAACCTCGTGGTTGCCGTCGCACAAGTCCGATGGCAGCCCGCGCAGCGCGCGGCATCGCGCTCGTCATGGCGCTCGCATGCGCCGCGCCGCTGCGCGAGAAGTCGCCCAAAGCGCAGCGCCTCTTCGCGGAGCTGTCCTGCGGCGAGTTCGACTGCGCCGAGGACTGCGAGGCGCTGGTGGGCATCCACCTGAGCATCGGCGTCGAGGGCTGGGCCGGAGGCACCTCGTTCTGCACCTGGCCCGGCGTGCTCTGCGACCCGCGGGACTTCCGCGTCGTCGGCGTGTCCCTGCGGGACCACGACCTGCGCGGGCCCGAGGCGCCGGAGAAGGTCGAGGACCGCAAGGCCGCGCACAAAAGGGCCGCGGCCGCGCCCGCGGCGGTTTCCTACAAGGGCAAGCGGGAGCTGAGCGCCACGGAGAAGAAGGCGCTCCTCGCCGAGGCGGAGAAGGCAAAAAAAAAAGCCCAGGCCGAGGCGAACAGGACCGCCGAGGAGGCGCCCATCGCCCGGGTGCCCCTCACGGAGAAGAGCTGCGCGGTGCGGCCGCGGTTCCCCGCGGCGGCCGTCGCGCGGCTCGCGCGCCTCGAGTCGCTGACCATGGTCGGCCTCAACATGACCGGGCCCATCGGCGACGAGCTGAACGCGCTGCGCCACCTCGAGGAGCTCCACCTGAGCGAGAACTTCCTCACGGGGCCCCTGCCGTTGCTCCGGGGTCCCGCGCGGCTCGCGGCGCTCCACCTCGACGGCAACGCGCTGACGGGCGGCGTCGTCGACGCGCTCGACGCGCTGCGCGCGCCGGACGCGCTGCGGCGCCTCGGCCTGAGCCGCAACGACCTCGACGGCCCGCTGCCGTCCGCGGCGCTGGCGCGGTTCGAAAACCTCGAGACGCTCGCGGTCGGCGGCAACCGGCTCGGTGGCCCCTTCCCCGCCGACGCCCTCGAGGACCTGGACCGCCTCGAGAACGTGTCGGCCTGGGGCAACGCCTTCACGGGCGACGCGGCCCGCGTCGTCGAGGACGCGCCGCCGGCGCTCCGGCGGCTGGACCTGAGCGCGAACGCCATGCACGGCGACCTCGCGGACGTCGCGGGCAGCCGGCTCCAGGTGCTGCGCCTCGGCGGCAACCGGCTCACGGGCGACCTGCCGCCGCCGGCCGAGGTCAAGGACCTGCACCACGTCGACCTCCGGGCGCCGCCGGGCTTCGCCGGCGACCGGAGCCGCGCGTCCGCCTGCGCGCTCGAGCCCGCGTGCGGCGGCGCCGCGGCCGCGGGCCTCGCGCTCTTCCGCGACCTCGTCGACGCGCACCTCTGGCTCGGCGGCCGCGTCCAGCCCTGGCGCGAGCTCCTGGACCAGGACGAGACGCGGTCGGGCGCGCGGCTCATCACGCGGAAGGACGACGACAAGAAGGGCGACGTCGACGCGCGGCTCGCGAGCCGGCGCGACAAGATGCGCCGCGACCCCTCGCGCCAGGGCAAGCACGCCGCCGGCGCCGCGAAGAAAAAGTTCAAGCGCAAGGAGGACCGCAAGAAGGGCGACGACAAGAAGGACGCGGTCAAAGCGCTCCGCGCGAGCCGCCGCGCCGCGTTCGCGGACGTGCTCGCGGGCGTCGTCGCCGACATCGACGAGGCCGAGGCGAACCGCACGGCGGAGGCGGCGCGGCTCGCGGAGGCGCTGGCGAACGCGACGGCGGCGAACGCGACGGCGGACGACGCGCCGGCGAAAGCGGGCGCCGACGAGCCCAAGCGGACGAAAGCGGCGAAGGCGGACGACGCGCTCAAGCGCGCGCGCGAGGACCGGCGGAAGCCGCGCGACCGGGGCGGCGGGGCTTCGGCGACGCTCCGGGCGGACGGCACGGCGGACCTCGACGCGGCCAAGGACCGCCTCGACGAACTCGAGCGGATCCGGAGCGAGCGCCTCGCGCGCGACTCGGAGCGCTCCAACCGCGGGGACCGGTCGAACGAGCGGCGCCGGCGGCGCGAGGAGATGGAGCGCAGGAACGCCGACCTCGACGCGCGCATCAACGGGGGGAAGCGGCGGCCGAGGGGCGCGGGCGAGGCGGGGGCCGCGAAGGACGCGGCGAACGTGACGGCCGCGGCCGCGGCGGCGCCGACGGAGGAGCGGGTCGCGGGGGCAGCGGCGGCGGCGCCCGCCGATGAAGGGGCGGTGCCCCTGGAGGAGGGCAAGGAGACGCCCGCGGAGGACAGGGCCGCGCCCGCGCCCGCGGAAGAGGCCGCGCCCGCGCCCGAAGAGGCCGCGCCCGCGCCCGCGGAAGAGGCCGCGCCCGCGCCGGAAGAGGCCGCGCCCGCGCCTGCTGAGGCCGCGACCCCGGCGCCGGAAGAGGCCGCGCCCGTGCCCGCCGAGGACGCGGTGGCGCCTGCGAAGGAGGCCGCGCCCGCGCCTGCTGAGGACGCGGTGGCGCCTGCGAAGGAGGCCGCGCCCGCGCCCGCCGAGGACGCGGTGGCGCCTGCGAAGGAGGCCGCGCCCGCGCCCGCCGAGGACGCGGTGGCGCCTGCGAAGGAGGCCGCGCCCGTGTCCGCTGAGAAGGAGGACGCGCCGCCCGCCGAAGGCTACGTCGTCAAGGGGACCATCGACCTGGGCCTCGGCGGCGAACCGCCGTCGCCGCCGCCGCCGCCGCCGCCGCCGTCGCCGCCGGCGCCCCCGGCGCGGGACGAGCGCATCTTCTCTCCGGCGCCGCCGTCCGCGGCGCCCGCGGCGCGGGAGGCGCCGCCGGTGTCCCCGGCCGCGGCGAAGCGCCTCGCCGACCTCGAGCAGGTCTTCGCCGCCGGCCTCGTCACCGAGGCCGAGATGCGCGCGAAGCGCGACGCCATCCTCGCGGACGCGGCCCCGGCCGGCGCGGCGCCGGCGCCGGCCGACGAGCCGGCGGACGCGCCGCCGCCGCCGGCGCCGGCCGACGACCTCGCCGCGAAGCTGCAGAAGCGCGCGGAGGCCATCGCGGAGATCCGCGCGCGCGCGAGGCAGAACACGGCGGCCGTCCGCGAGCGCGCCGAGGCGGCCAAGCGCGAGGACGCGCCGGCGGCGGAAGAAGGGGCATAATGTTGTGACGTCTACAGGGAGTTCATGGCGATCTCGCGCCGACCTTTACGTCAAGGTGCCTCCGAGTCAATCCTGCACAGCTCTGGACAAATCTGGGCGGCGTCAAGCTGCGCTCTTGCTGGCGTCGTACGGCCTCGAGACGCTCCGCAACTCGTCAGCGCCTGCCGAACGAACGTCTCAAGCACGAGCACCGATCGACACTCGAAAATGCGCCTCCCGTGCGCCGTCGCGCTTCTACTCACCAGCTGCGCCGCCCTGGCGCCGTCGTCGACGCCGGCGCCGTCCACGAAGCTCCACCGCGCCGTGGGCCGCCGCGAACTCGCTGCGACAGTTGCCGCTGCTGCCTTCGTCGTTCCAACAACCGCGTTCGCCGCGTCACCGCCCGGCGGCTTCAAGGCGCCGCCCATCGAGACGCCCACGTCGAAGATCAACATCAACACGGCGCAGGCGGCCCAGTACACGGACTGCCCGGGCATGTACCCGACGATCGCGTCGCGCATCGTCGAGCACGTGCGCTACGAGGGCCGGTTCAAGAGCATCGACGACCTGCTCAAGGCCGAGGACGTCACGAACGGCAACGAGAACATCGTCAACATCATCAAGAAGAACGCGCCGCGCCTCGTGGTCTCTTAAGATCTTAAAGGCGCTTCTCCCAGAGCCAAGGCACGCCGGCCTTGAGGTCCGCGATCTTCCGGATCGTCGCGTCGATCGCGCCGTCGTCGCCCGCGGCCTTTGTGTCGCCCAGGAGCGCGGCCTCGCCGCCGACGTCGGCGCCCAGGGACTCGTCGATGAAGACGGTCTTCAGTCCCAGGGCCTTGCAGGCGCGGATGTTCTTCATGGAGTCCTCGAACATGACGCACGTCTCCGGCGCCGCCGCGCCGACGCTCCGGAGCACGTGCTCGAAGGCCGCGGGCTCGGGCTTGCAGGCGGGCATGACGTCCTCGACGCCGAAGATGTTCCCCTCGGGGAAGACCTCGGCGATGCCCAGGGCCTCGAGGCACTTGAGGCCGTAGGCCTTGGGCGCGTTCGTGAAGACGACCATGTTGTAGCCGAGCGCCTCGAGCTCCCGGAGCTGCGCCAGCAGTTCGAGATTCGGCGGCAGGAATTTCGCGAACTCGCAGTGCTCGGCCCAGTAGCGGCCGAGGGAGTAGAGCTCGAAGGGCTTCGGCAGCCGGCCCTCCTCCGACGCGACCTTGAGCCCCTTCAGCGTCGAGTGGTACTTCTGGAACATCTCCGTGCGCAGCGCGAGCGCCTCCGCCTCCGTCGCGAAGCCCAGCTCGCTCGTCATGAACCTGGCGACGACCGGCCCGTTGCGGTGGTCGCTGAAGCCGCTACTCTGGGGGTAGAGCGTGTCGTCGATGTCGAAGATGAGCGTGTCCAGCGGCGCGCCGCCGGCCATGCTCCTCGCCGCGGCGCGCGCCGTCGAGGAGCGCAGCGGCCGCGCGAGGCGGAGCAGCGAGAGGTACGGCAGGCGCATGCAAGGGCGCGCCTGCGGGTGTCGACGAGGCGCAATACCCGAGTCGTCGAGCGAGGCTTGCACAGCACTTGACCCTATGTTGAACGACGAGGGCATTTGGAGAACGTCGGTTAGCATCGGGGGGGACTGCCAATTGGGAGGCTGCGAATTCGTCAGGGGAGCTCGGGCCAGGGCCGCTCGGGGCCGTAGCACAGGGGCACCCAGACGGCGACCGCGACCGCGGCGAAGGGGAAGCCGAAGAGCACGACGACGGCGTTGAGGTACTCGACGACGGCGTCGATGGTCATGAGCGCGCGGCGGCGGCGCGTGCAGCCCTCGACGGCGTCGCCGTCGCCGTTGCGGCCCGTGGCCGCGAACCAGAGCCGCTGGAGGCTCGCCGTCTTGAGGAGGTCGCCGAGGCGCGGCGTCCGGTTCAGGCGCGCGGCGAGGCGCGGCGCGGAGCCGACGACGTAGTCCGTGAACGCGCCCGAGCTCTCGAAGCCCTCGAGCACGGCGTAGGGCACCTCCGCCGCCGCGGCCGAGAAGAGTTTCGGGTCCCAGGGCGCGACCTTCGCCGGCGCGAAGAGGTGCTCGTCCCAGCGCGTCCAGTCGCGGTAGGCGACGAAGCGGCCGAAGATGCCCTTGGTGAAGAAGTGGCCGCGCACGCGGAGCAGCGTCGCGACGTAGCCGAACGCGTCCGTGCCGTCGTAGAGGCCGTCGTAGTCGTCGAGCATGTCGTCGATCGCGTCGTCGTCGGACGGCCCCGCGGGCGTTTTGAACGAGCCGCGCGTGGACGCGCTCATGGACGCCCGCAGGCGCCCGCGGAACGACCGGTGATGCAGGCCGTAGTGGCGCGCCCAGTGGTCGCGCGTCTCGCGCTTCGACGCGCGCTTCAGCGTCGCGTCGCCGATGCCCAGCTTCCTGAGCCGCCGCGACGGCACGTGCTGGCGCAGGGTCATCTCGACGGCCGAGCTCCGGAGGTAGCGCCTGTGCCGAAACCAAATCTTCAACCCGACTTCAATGTGAGCGTATTCGAACGATTTAGACCAGACTCTTTCACTGTGCTTCGAGAACTTGACGAGAGCGATCGATCCGTCCAAAAATCAGCCGAATCGACTTTGATTTGACCGAGCTAGAGAATTCTCAAGTTTGGTGGGGACCCCCAAACCAGTGGTTGGTTTCGGCACAGGGTAGCGCAGGTCCGGGTCGTAGCCGCCCTTGGGGTCGGCGAGCCGCTCGTCGATCTCGAGGATGAACTCGATCGCGAGGGAATTCAAAATCACCTCCAACGGCGAGTGGTGGTAGAAGAGCACGTACAGATTCAGCGAGTAGAGGAGGACCTCGTAGCCCCCGTTCATGACCCGCCACACGCGGAACCCGACCTTCTGGAGCACACTGTCGACCTCCGCGCGGAAGATGAGCGCCCGGAGCGCCGCGAGCCGCGCGACGCCGTCCCCGCCGCCGCCCGTCTCCAGGAACTTGCAGTAGGCGTCGGGGATCACCTTGACGGCGTAGAAGTAGATCACCAGCAGGATCATGACGGCCGTGAACCGCGCGCCCTCGCCGCGGCTCGAGATCGACCCCGCGCGGTCCTTGCAGATCGCCGGCGGCTCGGACCGGCCCGCGCGGAGCTGGAAGAGCAGCACCAAGGTCGGGATGCCCACCTGGAGGAGGAGCGCCGAGAGCGCGGACAGCACGCCGCTCCCCGTGCACGCGAGGTAGAGGTAGACGGACGCGGGCTCCTCAAAGTCCCAGGACTTGATGCCGTCGAGGCGCCGGAAGGGGTCGAGGCACAGGTCCACGAGCGCCGCGCGCGCGCCCGGCGACGCGGCGTCGAAGCCCTTTTTGAACGACGCGTTCCGGCCGTCGTCGAGCCACGCGGTCCAGGCCTCGCGCGCGAAGGCCTCGAAGTCGAAGTCCTCGAAGTCGTCGCAGTGGCCCTCCTGGATGCGCACGCGCTCCTCGAGGCGCACGAGCGCGTAGGTCCGCCAGGTCAGCGGGCCGTCGCCGAAGATGGCCACGGTCGCGCGCTCGGCGACGCGCGGCGCGGGCCGCGACCGGCCGTAGCCGTGGCTGTAGCCGCCCGCGGACACGACGCTGTAGCCGCCGGCCGACGCGCGCGTGACGACGGCGAGCCGCCAGCGCTGGTCCGGCCCCTCGCACTCGACGACGTCGCCCGGCTCGAAGGCGAAGCGCGCGCCCTTTTCGTCGTAGCGGTCGAGCGACGCGGCGAGCGTGCGCAGCGGCACGGACCGGCGCCGGCTCAGGTCGAAGTGGACGCCCAGCGCGCGGCGCACCTGCTCGTGGTCGTGGATCTGCTCGCGGCGGACGGCGGACGAGTCCTGCCGCTCGAGCGCGCGGGCCGGGCGCGGCGCGCCGCCGCCGTCGCCGTCCTTGCTGTCCTCGGCGCCGACGTCGATGCCCACGTGGTCGAGCCACGCCTTGAGGCTGGTCTTCCTGCCCATGCGTGAGCCGCCTCAGCAGCCCGGATCCATCATGGATCCATCGGCATCGTCCGCTCGACCAACTTGAAGCCGGTTCACCATTGACCCACGTGCGCGCGAGAGAGGCGGCCCTCGCGCGCGGACGCGCGCGCTCGCGAAGGAGGCCACTCGGCGGCTACGGGGACGACGCCACCCCACCCCACGACGAGACGACGACGAGAGTGTCACCGCGCGCGCGCGCGCGCGATGGCCGCCCCCCTACTTGAACTCGATGAGCGTCGGGTCGCGGAAGATGCCCTGGCTGCTCAGGGACTTGTCCATGTCGAGCTCCTTGCCGTGGTGGAAGAGCTTCTCGATTTTGAGTTTCGCGCCGCCGTCCTCCGCGGCCTTCTTGACGCCTGCGGGCCGCGGCCGCTCGCGCGGGGGACGAAGCGATCGAAAACGCCGGCGGACGCGCTGGCCGCGGGGTCGTTGATGGAGATGTTTTTCGCGACGAAGGCGGGCGCGCGGTTCGCCGGGCCCGTCTTGAGGAAGACCTGGATCTTCGCGTCGCCCTTGCCGTCGATCTGGCCGTAGACCTCCGCGCGCTGCATGTCGATGCCCTTGCAGCCGTTCATGTCCGGCGGCGGCGCCGCCGTCGCGGCGCTGTACTTGAACTGCGATGGGGGGACGCGCGTCTTCCGGCGCGCTCCAGCGCGGCGGCGAGCGCCGCGGCGTCCGCCGTCGCGGGCGCGGGGCGACGCGCGGCCAGGGTCTCCTTGCCGTCGTCGCAGAAGTAGCCCTTGTCGACCTCGCCCTTCCAGACCTCGGGCAGGGGCCAGGGGAGCGACGTCTTGCCGTAGGAGCCATTGACGGGCAGCGTGGAGGCCATCGGAAAGAGACTGCGACGTACAGCCGAGGTGGGTGTTGACTGCGTACAGCCGAGGTGAGTGTTGAGGAATACCAGCTTCGGTGCCGTCACGGTGCGGCTCTCCAAATTAGCTGGTTCGGTGGCAGCCCCAAAAATCCACAGGCTGGGAGCAGGCGCCGTCCACACAAGTATCCGCGACCATGCTCCACTACTTCTTCGGGAAGCCGAAGCACGAGGAGTCGGCCCAGGGCCGCGTGACGTCCAAGCCCGCCGCGGAGCACGCCCCCGTGAAGCGCGCGGAGCAGGTCTCCGCCGCCGTGTCCAGCAAGCGCGCCAAGCTCGGCGACGGGGGCGCCGAGTCCATCGCCCAGCTGAAATGCGGGGCCAACGACGACCTCGGCAAGGCCTACGACGAGCTCCTCGAGACCTTCGACGAGGAGCAGACGAAATTCGCGGCGGCGCTCGCGAAGATGGAGCGGTACCACGAGGAGGCGATGCTCTCGCTCGCGGAGGCGCGCGACGTCCTCGGCGCCAAGCTCGAGGCGAAGCAGGGCACCTTCGACGCGTCCCTCGCCGAATTGGAAGTGAAGCTCACGGCGCTGCTGCGGAAGCGCGTCGAGGCCCTCTACACCGCGCAGATGGCGGAGTCGTCGCGGATCTTGGCGCGCCTCGAGGGCGAGACGCAGCAGAAGGACGTGGACATCGAGGCGCTGAAGAAGATGTACGCCGAATTGTTGGAGCGCCTCGAGCAGCAGCGCACGGACCACGCGCACCACGTCGCCAACGCCGCGCGCGACGCGCTCGCGCAGCAGAAGACGATGGCCGAGCAGCGCCTGGGCGTGACCAAGTCGGCCTTCCAGGCGGAGCTCGACGAGCTGTTGGCCCAGCTCGCGGCCCTCAAGCAGGCCGGCGACGAGACGGCGGCCCAGCGCGAGCAGGAGCTCCGGGAGTTCAGCGCGTCCTTCGCGACGGCCATCGCCGTCCTGGAGACGGAGCTCGCGTCGAAGATGGAGGCCTTCCACTACGAGAAGTCCGAGTCCCACGGCGAGGTCCACGCGACGCGGTCCCAGCTCGACTCCGAGCTCGCGGACCTCAAGCGGGAGATCGACGAGGCCCGCCGGCGCCTCGCGGAGTTGGAAGCGGCGGCGGACGCCGCGCGGCTCCGCCTCGAGCAGGCCAAGCAGCACCACGGCGAGGTCGACGCGAATTTGGCCGAGCGCCTCATGGCCCGCGCGGCGCGCTTCAGCGCGCCGGCGGACGCCTTGCCGGACGACGACAAGGCCTACATGAAGGAGGTCGCGCGCCGCGCGAAGCTGTGCCGAATTCAACCACTGGTTTGGGTGGTCCTGACCAAACTTCAGAATTCTCTAGCTCGGTCACATCGAAGTCGATTCGGCTGATTTTTGGACGAATCGATCGCCCTCGTCGAGTTCTCGAAGCAGAGTCGAAGAGCTCGCATCGAAACTTTCAAATACGCTCACATTGAAGTCGCGTTGAAGATTTGAATTCGGCACAGGCGCGAAGGAGGCCGAGGAGCGCGAGCGGGCGTTGATGCTCGACCAGCAGAAGAAGCTCCGGAGCCAGCGCGACGCGCTGCGGGGCGAGCGCAAGCGCACGCTCGAGCAGCTCCAGCTCGAGCTCGCCAACGCCGAGCGCGAGGCGAAGCTCGCGGAGAGCCGCCGCGACACGGAGATCAACAACCGGCGCCACGTCCACTCGCACGAGCTCACGATGGCCAACCAGATGATGGAGAATTTGGCGGAGCAGGAGGAGGACAGCAAGGCCATGGAGGAGGTCCAGGACGACCCGGCGAACGAGGCGGCCTTCGACATCGCCGGCGACCTCGACGCGCAGCTCCTCACTTTACGGAAAGACGCCAGCGCGCTCCGCATGGCCGTCGCGGAGCTCCAGCGCACGCTCCGGAGCGAGGGCGTCGCCCACAGCGCGCGCCTCGGAGCTTTGAACGCCCAGCTCAAGACCAAGGACGGCGAGCTCGCGGCCGCGCGGTCGTCCAAGGCCGCGCAGACCTCGGACGCGGCGCTCGTCAACCCCGCGTCCGGCGAGCTCGCGTCGTTCGACGCGAACACGATGGCCGAGTGGAACTCCATCATCGCCACGGGCCGCGCCGCGGCCAAGATCGCCGCGCCGGCGCCCGTCGCCGCGGCGGCGCGGCCCGACGCGCTCGTGAGCCGGTCCGCGGTCGTCGAGCAGGAGCTCGGCGCCGTCGAGGAGGAGCTCGCGCGCGCGCGCGGCGACCGCCTCGGCCTGCTCCGCGAGCGCCACGGCGACCTCGAGCGCGAGGCGGCCATCTTGATGCGCCTCAACAAGAACAAGACGGGCAACGGCGGCTACGTCGAGGAGGAGTCGCTCGCGACGGAGTCGAACCCGGACGCGCCGCCGCCGCCGCCGCGCGCGCCCACGCGCCTCGAGGCCATCAAGCTCACGAAGCAGCAGGAGGCGGGCGTCCTCGCCGACATCAAGGCCATGGAGGGCCTCGACGCCAAGCACTTGAATTTTGAGTGGGACCCCGTCGCGCGCCTCGCGTCCGAGCTCGGCGACCAGAAGTTCGTCGATTTGGACTACCCGCCGCTGGAGACGCCGGGCACCTACGCGACGACGGAGGTCAAGAAGCCCCACAAGCTCGTCTACAAGCGCGCCTCGTCCATCTACGGCAACCCCGAGGTCTTCTCGGGCGGCATCGCGCCCGACGACATCAAGCAGGGCGAGCTCCCGCGTGGAATTCAAATCTTCAACCCGACGTCAATGGGCGCACATGCGACCGTTTCGACGCGAGGACTTCGGCCGTGCTTCGAGAACTCGACGAGAGCCATCGATTCGTCCAAAAATCAGCCGAATCGACTTCGATGTGACCGAGCTCGAGAGTGCTGCAGTTTGGTCAGGACCACCCAAACCAGCGGTCGAATTCCACGCAGGCAAGCTCGGCGACTGCTGGCTCATGTGCGCTTTATCCGCGTGCGCGGAGTTCCCCGAGGTCATCCGGGCCCTCTTCCCCGGCGTCATGCAGACCTTCCAGTCGTCGGGCCTCTACCGCGTGCGCCTCTGCACGGGCGGCCTCTGGCACACGGTGACGCTCGACGACTACTTCCCCTGCGACGTCGGCGCGGGCACGCCCATCTTCTCGCGCGCGAACGGCGAGGAGTTGTGGGTGCTGCTCCTCGAGAAGGCCATGGCGAAGCTGAGCGGCAACTACTTCCGGCTCCGCGGCGGCCTCGCGGCCGAGGGGTTGATGGATTTGACGGGCTTCCCGACGTTCCGCTTCAAGTTCAAGAACGTGCTCGTGAAGAAGATGGTCAAGGACGGCACGCTCTTCGACAAGCTCGTCTTCGCGGACAAGAACAAGGCCGTCGCCTGCGCGTCGACGCCGGGCGAGGACCGCTTCACGGAGGGCAAGGGCGACACGAAGATCCCCAAGTCGGGCCTCGTGCCCGGCCACGCGTACTCGCTGATCGCCGCGCGGGAGATCGACGGCCAGAAATTGGTGTGCCTGCGGAACCCCTGGGGCAAGTTCGAGTGGGACGGCGCCTGGGGCGACAGCGACCCGCGGTGGACGGCGGCGATGAAGGAGAAGATGGGCAAGGCGCTCGGCGTCCCCGCGGCGGACGTCATCAAGGACGGCGACGGCACGTTCTGGATGGGCTACGAGGACTTCATCACGCACTTTGCGTCCTTCTCCTTCGCGCTCCAGCAGTCCATCGCGGGCACGAAGTGGCACGAGGCGCGGCAGCGCGGCCACCTCGCGCTCGACGACATGTCGGAGATGTACTCGCTGCACCTCACGCAGCCGTCCCACGTCTTCGTCGGCGTCCACCAGCACGACGAGCGCTGCCTCGGGAGCGCCGGGGACTACATGGACGTGGGCTTCACCGTCGTGCGGCGCCCGTCCGGCCGGACGTCGGGCGACTTCGAGCTCCAGACGGCCGTGTCGCCCTGCAAGGACCGGCAGCAGTTCGCGCCGGCGATGACGTCGCCGGCGGCGCACAAGAAGTGGGCGCCGGGCGAGTACGTCATCTGCGTCTACACGACGGGCGTCGCGCTCCGGGCCGCGCGGCCGCACCCGCGGACCGCGTGGCCGCCGGACTTCGACGTCGTCCACATGAAGCCCGTGACGCGCGAGGTCTTCTCGCGCTTCAACCGCACCATGGACGGCATCTTAAGCGTGGGCGAGGGCGGCGAGGCCGCGGAGCTGCTCTCCGCGCTGGGCCTCGAGAAGATCTCGGACATCACGAAATTGATGTCGTTCGCGCGGAACCGCGACGGCATCACGGAGGGCGAGGTCGGCGAGTGGCTCCGGTCCCACGAGGACTGGCCGGGGCTGCTGCTGAAGCTGGGCTACGAGCCGGGGAAGACGCCCCGCGACGTGCCCGTGCCCATCCGCAGCCGCCGCGTCGCCATCTCCGTCCACGCGGACGAGCCCATCCACCTCGACAAGGTCACGGACGACCCGGCGGTCATCGAGGAGGCCCAGGAGCTGCCCATCCTCCAGGGCACGCCCGTCAAGTACGGCGAGATCGAGGTCTACGTCGCCCAGGCGACGACGGGCGCGTCCATGCTCGCGAAGAACACGTCGTCGCGGCCCTACAAGGTCACGATGGACTGCTCCAAGTCCAAGAACTGCAAGTCCCACACGGGCTCCCTCGTCAATTCCATGGTCATCCCGCCGGGCGAGGCCAAGATCATGCACCACGTCACGCCCGCGGGCCGCGGCGCCTGGGGCTACACCTACGAGATGAAGTGGGCCTCCCAGTGAGCCCGCGCGCCCGCCCGCCCGCCGCGCCGAACCGCACCCCCAACCTCCCTTTGTACCATCGCGCGGGCAGTCTTATGAGGGGCCTCTCTAGATTACTCGGGAAACTTCCGCCCATGGAATTCGGCGGCCATTCGGATATCGCTCGCTGAGAATGAGACTGGCAGTAACCCCCCGTCGGGTAGCTGGATAAAATGTTCGACTGGCGCATCGTTCATTAGATTGTTGGCAATGTTCATCATGAGCTCATTCTTGACTCTCGAGCGCTCTAGATCGTTGCTCATGATCTGCGATCGGACCCGCGCTAAGTCTGCTTCGAGTCGCGCTTTCTGCTTCTTCTTGATCTGCTTGGCCCTGCCCGGGCAGAAGTTCCGATGCTCGCGCCGCCAGTGCATTTTCTGGCACTCTTTCGAACAAAATTGGCAGCGCTGGAAAGCTGGAGCGAGGATGGACCCCTCACCTTGGCAGTTCGAACATCGCCGCCGAGCCAACTTGCGCATGACGCGAGGATGAGCTTCGAATAGATAGCGGAACGCCTCAAAGTCGCCGCGCGATCGCGCGTAGCAGAGCGGGCTGCCAAACTCCTGGATTCGACAAAATCCTGGATTCGACATTATGCGCGCCGGGTCCGCGCCGTGCTGGAGGAGCACCCGCGCGACATCCAGGTGGTCGGCACCCGCGCCGGGCTTCCTGGAACAGCCACGGAGTAAGGACGCCTTCATCGTCACGAACAGTAGCGCTGTCAAAACTAGCACAACATCCTCGCCCTTTCGCAGCGCTTCGTCGTGCTCGAAGATTGGCTCAATTATCCACGATGCACCCAATTCGACCAGGCCAGGGATGGTATACCGTTCGCCGTCCAAAGTGGTGTCCCAGCCCTCCCAGCCCTTGCTCGGAAAAGTGTTTACCCAGTAGTCTTTGTAGGGGCTCGGGTCGTCGCGATCGAACGAGATGCTGTTCAGCCAGCCCTCACGCCGTACGTCGTCGACGGTAAACTCGAAGTTCCACCCGTTCCACCCGAGACCGAGGGGACTCGACTCCTTGAGCTCCATCGCAGCCCAGCTGCGGCCCTTCAACTGAGCATCAAGTTCGGCTCAGCTCGCCGCAAACATGATGAGACGACGAGCCGCCCTCGGCGCGCTGCTCGGCGCGCTGCTCGGCGCGCTCGGCGCGCGCGCCGGCGTCCCGAACGCGACGTCCGGCGAAGTCGACGACATGGAGTCGCTGGGCTCGATCATCGACGGCATCAAGTCCGAGGTGCTCAAGGGCGCGAAGGTCGGTCCGGAGACCTTTTTGGAGAACGTCGCGGCCTTCCGCGCCGCCGTGGACTGGTCCGAGCGCTGGATCCAGGGCGTGCTGGCGTGGCACGCGAGCCTCTGGGTCGTCTTCCTCGCGTTTCGCAAGGTCTACGAGGTCCAGGTCGGGCTGTTTTTCGGCGTGACGATCGCCGTCGGACTCGCGGAGCGGCTCAACGCGCTCGGCGCGGCCCACTGGGAGAAGTTCGCGACGCAGAACTACTTCGACGACCACGGCATCTTCGCCGGCGCGCTCTTCTGCGCGCCCATGCTCGCGCTCTCGCTCTGCATGCTCCTCAACTTCCTCCACCTCGCGGCCCACATGCTCGTCGACGTCAAGCGGCGCGAGTTCAAGGACCACCTCACGGCCAAGGAGAAGGAGAAGGAGAAGGAGGGGAAGGCGGACTAAGGCTATGGCGTCTGTGGCACCGCGCGCGGCATGGTTGAGGCCGATGTTGGCGAAGGCGATCAGGCATGGCAGAAGTTTTGCTAGAGACCGACGGCCAATCCGGCCAGGCCGCGCCGCGCTCGGAGCAGCTCCTCGCCGACGGCGCGACGCCCCTCGTCGGGAGCCACCTCTACACGCGGCGGGACTACTGGGACGCGCGCTTCGAAACGGAAGACGCGAAGGAGTGGCTCTGCGCCTTCAAAGACATCCGCGGTCTCCTGGAAGAGCTCCTCCCGGAGGACCGCGATGCGAAGATCCTCCTCGTCGGCTGCGGCAACAGCGAGCTCGGCGCGGATTTGGCGCGCGAGCTCGGGTGCACGAATGTTATAGCTTCTGACTACAGCGAGACGTGCGTCGCGCGCATGGCCAAAAAGCACGCGGCCGTCGCGGGCCTGCGCTACGCGTACGCGGACATGCTCGACCTCGGCGCGACCTTCGCGGCGGGCGCTTTTGACGTTGTCCTGGACAAGGCGGGCTTCGACGCCGTCGTCGCGGACGGCGGCGGCGACCGATGGACGCCGACTGACGCGGCCGTCGCCGCGGCAGAAAAGCTCGCCGCCAGCGTCGCGCACGTCCTGCGGGACGGCGGCCGCTTCCTGCAGATCACGTTCAGCCAGCCCCACTTCCGGCGGCCGCTGCTCCTCGCCGGCGGCGCCGCGGCGCCGTGGGCGCGCTGCGAGACCCGCGCCGTCGACGTCGGCTTCGGCTACGCGTGCTTCGCCCTCGACAAGCGGCGCCCGGGCGACGCGGCCGCCGCGGCGCCGGAAGCGAGACCCGCCGACGCGGCGCGGCGGCGGGCGCCGAGCGCGAGCTCGGACGACGAGGCGGACGTCGCCGCCGCGTTCATGGCCGCGGGCCTCTCGTCCGACGACGAGGCCTAACATCGGCGTAGGTCAGTTAGCAGGAGGGGGGGGGGAGGGCGGTGTGTCCACAGACGTCGGGGGGGCGGGGTGGGGCTTTTGATTCGCGGGGCCTAGGCGGCGAGCTTGTCCGCGGACTCCTTCGCCTCGCTCTGGAGGTCGAAGTCCGCGGCCTCGACGAAGTCCGGGAGCTCGTCGAAGTTGAGATACCGGTAGGTGTCCGCCGCCGTCGTGTCGAGGGCCTTGACGGTGTCGAAGTACTCCTCGGGCGTGGGCAGCTTGCCGAGGATGGCCGCGCACGCCGCGAGCTCCGCGGAGGCCAGATACACGTTCGCGCCCTTGCCGAGGCGGTTCGGGAAGTTGCGCGTCGACGTCGACACGACGGTCGCGGCGTCGGCGACGCGCGCCTGGTTGCCCATGCAGAGGGAGCAGCCCGGCATCTCCGTGCGCGCGCCGACGCGGCCGTAGATGGCGTAGTAGCCCTCGTCCGTGAGCTGCGCGGCGTCCATGCGCGTCGGGGGCGAGATCCAGAGGCGCGTCGGGAGCTGGCCCTCGAAGTTGTCGAGGAGCTTGCCCGCGGCGCGGAAGTGGCCGATGTTCGTCATGCAGCTGCCCAAAAAGACCTCGTCGATCTTCGTGCCCGCGACGGACGACAGCAGCACGGCGTCGTCGGGGTCGTTGGGCGCGCAGAGCACGGGCTCCTTGATGTCCGCGAGGTCGATCTCGATGACCTCGGCGTACTCGGCGTCGGGGTCCGCCTCCATGAGCTGCGGGTCCTCGAGCCACTTCTGCATGCGCGCGACGCGGCGCTCCAAGGTCCGCGGGTCGCCGTAGCCCTCGGCGACCATCCACTTGAGCATGACGACGTTCGACTCGAGGTACTCGACGATGGGCTCCTTGCCGAGCTGGATCGTGCAGCCCGCCGCGGACCGCTCCGCGGACGCGTCGCTCAGCTCGAACGCCTGCTCGCATTTCAGGTGCGACACGCCCTCGATCTCGAGCACGCGGCCCGAGAAGATGTTCTTCTTGCCCTGCTTCTCCACCGTGAGCAAACCGCGCTGGATGGCCGCGTAGGGGATGGCGTGGACGAGGTCGCGGAGCGTGATGCCGGGCACCATCTCCCCGGTGAACTTGACCTTGACGGACTCGGGCATGTCGAGCGGCATGACGCCCGTCGCCGCGGCGAAGGCCACGAGGCCCGAGCCCGCGGGGAAGGAGATGCCCACGGGGAAGCGCGTGTGGCTGTCGCCGCCCGTGCCCACCGTGTCCGGCAGCAGCATGCGGTTGAGCCACGAGTGGATGATGCCGTCGCCGGGCTTGAGCGACACGCCGCCGCGGTTGCGGATGAAGTCGGGCAGCGTCGCGTGCGTGACGACGTCGACGGGCTTCGGGTAGGCCGCCGTGTGGCAGAACGACTGCATGACCAGGTCCGCGGAGAAGCCGAGGCACGCCAAATCCTTGAGCTCGTCGCGCGTCATGGGCCCCGTCGTGTCCTGGGAGCCCACGGTCGTCATCGCCGGCTCGCAGTAGGTGCCCGGGGACACGCCGTCGACGCCGCAGGCCTTGCCGACCATCTTCTGGGCTAAGGTGTAGCCCGCGGGCGCCGCGCCGGCCGCGGTCGGCAGCTGGAAGACGTCCGACGGCGGCAGGCCCAGCGACGCGCGCGCCTTCGTCGTGATGCCCCGGCCGATGATGAGGGGGATGCGCCCGCCGGCGCGCACCTCGTCCTGGATGACGTTCGTCTTCAGCTCGAACTCCGCGAGCACCGCGGACTCGTCGCCGTGCTTGGTCGCCTTGCCCGCGTGCGGGTAGATGTCGACGACGTCGCCCATGTGCATGCCCGTGACGTCCATCTCGATGGGTAAGGACCCCGCGTCCTCCATGGTGTTGAAGAAGATGGGCGCGATCTTGCCGCCGACGCAGACGCCGCCGCCGCGCTTGTTCGGCACGTTCGGGATGTCGTCGCCCATGAACCAGAGCACGGAGTTCGTCGCCGACTTGCGCGACGAGCCCGTGCCGACGACGTCGCCGACGTAGGCCAGGGGGAAGCCCTTGGCCTTGAGGCCCTCGATCTGCGCGGTCACGTCCTCGTGCTCGATGCCGTCGCGCGGGTTCTTGAGCATGGCCAGCGCGTGGAGGGGGATGTCGGGCCGGCTCCAGGCGTCGGGCGCGGGGCTCAAATCGTCCGTGTTCGTCTCGCCCGTGACCTTGAACACGGTGACCGTGAGCTTCTCGGCCATCGGCGGCCGGTTGAGGAACCACTCGGCGGCGGCCCACGACTCCATGACCTCCTGGGCCAGCGCGTTGCCGCCCTTCGCCTTGGCCTCGACGTCGTGGAAGGAGTCGAAGACGAGGATCGTCGTCTTCAGGCAGTCGGCGGCGATCTGCGCGAGCTCGGGGTCGCTCGAGTCGAGGCCCGCGACGAGCGTCTCGACGTTGTAGCCGCCCTGCATCGTGCCCAGGATGCGCATGGCCTCGTACTTGTCGACGATGGGGCTCGTCGCCTCGCCGCTGACCAGCGCCGCGAGGAACGACGCCTTGACGTAGGCCGCCTCGTCGACGCCGGGCGGCACGCGGTCCCGGAGCAGCTCGAGCAGGAACGCCTCGTCGTCCTCGGGCGCCTTGAGCTGCTCGACGAGCTGCGCGCACTGCGCCGCGTCCAGGGGCTTCGGCACGATGCCCTCGGCCTTGCGCGTCTCGACGTGCGCCTGCGGGGGGGGGGAAGGCGCGCGGTCGCGGAAAGGAGCCAAATCGACGGGCGTCGCCGTTTCGCTTCGCGGGGCCGGCATATTCGTCGCGGAAGGCGCTGAGGTAGCGGGCGCGCGGCGCGTTGCGGCCCACGGCGCGCGACACCGCGCGGGTGATGCTGAAAGAGCGGCGCATCCTGGCAGCAGGTTCCCAAATCTCGAGCTTTCTCGATGGCGAGCGGGGCGATGGAGCCCGCCTGCCACCGCAACGTAGCCGACGCGCGCCGAAGTTGCCTCCAACGCGATGGACGTCGATGGGCAGCCTCGCGCGCTCTAGCCGCGCTGAGAGAAACAGGCGCGCCTCGGCGTCACCCATGGACCACCACGAGGCCTCGGCGTCGCCCATGGACCACCACGAGGCCTCGCCCATGGACAAACACGCCGCGCTCGTCGCCCTCGAGCACACCGCAAACGACGCGAGCACCTCGGCGTTGGAACGTCGACGAGCCGAGGCCCAGCTCACCAAAGCCCTGAAGCGCTGGGCGTCGTCGCCGCGCGACGCCCTGAACCTCGAAGGCGACGCCCCGCTCGCGGCCGCCGCGCTGCAGAGAGCCTACCTCGGCCTCGCGCGGCGCTGCCACCCGGACAAGGGCGGCTCGCACCGCGTCTTCCTCGCGGTCAAGGCCGCGCGCGACGCCCTCGCGGACGACGCCGACGGGCCGATGGAGCCCGTGCGGCCCGGCTCGGAGGACGCGCGCTACTTCGCCGACGACCCGCTCTTCGGCGCCGTCCACGACGACGCGGGCTACGAGTCGAGGTTCTGGAGCGACGACGTCGCGAGCGGCGCGGGCACGCGGGACCGCGCCGCCATGTGGACGCTACGACGCGGAGTTTGACGCGCGGCGGCGCGCGGGCGCCGACGCGGCCGCGCGGCCCCTCGGCGTCAGCTAGTAGCGCGCGCTCGGTTGTAGTAGCTCCCACTAAAGACAAAGGTGCGGGTGAGTGTTGCTGTAAAAAAGAGCTCCGGTCCCGCGGGTCTGGTTGGAGAAGAGGGAGTGGGGCACAGGTCGGGTCCGCCGCCGCGGCGCGCGGGCCGCGCGCCGCCGCGGCCGGGGCCGCCGCGTCAGGCGTAGCCCGTGCAGCCGCAGTCCGAGTAGCCGCACTCGCCCTGGGGCTCCGGGAGCTGCTTGTCGCCCTTCTTCCCGGGCACCGTGCCGGAGATGATGACGGACTCGCGCGCGGACGCGCGGCGTTTCCAGCTCAGGCGGTCCGCCTTGACCTGTGACAAAAACGGCGTCCCGGGGCGCGCCGCGCAAGTTCTTCCGACGAGCGATGGCCCCAGAACCGCGCCCGCCGCGCGCGCGAAACGCGCGCCCCGCGGCGTCGCGTCCCGCGCCGGCGACGCGCGCCCTTGTTCTGCGCGTACTTCGACATGACCTCCTTCATGGGCGTGCCCTTCCGCACTCGCATGACCGTGATCTCGCCCGTCTGCGGCGCGGCGGGCGTGCGCGCGCGCGGGGCACGGGCGGGGGGGGGGGGGGGGACCTTTTTGTTGTGCGCGCGGACGGTGATCATGCCGTCGTCGTCGTCGCCGTTTTGGCTCTGGGGGCTCGACAGGTCCGTCTTCTCGACGTCCCGCAGGCTGAGGGAGCTCAGCCGCTGGCCGACGTCGTCGCCGCCCATGCCCGGTCGCATGACGAAGCCCGGGGCCGACGACCCGGAGGCGACGGAGTCCGCGTCGCGCACGGAAAAGTCGGGGTTCGTCCCCGTCTCGCTCGGCGTCTGGGCCGTACTGCCCTCGCCGCCGAAGCCGGACATGGTCTCAGAGAGCGTCGGGGCGCCGGGCCCGTCGCGACCGAGGGAGCGCCCGACCACTCCCAGCCGCGTCTCTAACAGGCCGCCCGGGAGCTCACAACACGGCAGAATGGAGCTGCCACAACCCGGGTGCGAAGATTTTGTTGGAATTGGCGACGACGTTTCACTTTGCGGCCGTCGTTTGCTGCTAAAGAGGCACTGAGGCAGCCCCGTTGAGCATGGTTGTCACGAACGACCAGAAGTCGTAGCATGTTCGCGTGCGCCAGCCCCGACGAGCCGGAGCCGGGCTTCTGCCTCGGCGAAGTGAAGCCCGTGCCGGAGAAGAAGAAGCCGCGCCGGGGCCGGAGCCGCGAGCGGCCCAAGGCGCGGCGCAAGGAAGCGGCGGCGGACGAGGCGCCGCCGCGCATCGACGTGAAGATCGACGCGGCGGTCCCGCCGGCGGCGGTCGACGGCGACGATCCGAAGCGGTCGCTCGGCAGGAAGAACGTGTCCGAGCGGGTGCTGCGCGTCGGCGCCGCCGTCAAGGAGAAGCTCGTCCACCTCGCGGAGAACCTCGAGGCGGCGCCGAAGCACGTCGCGCTGAGCGCCTCGGAGCTCATCGAGGAGGGCGGCGGCGGCGCGGAGACGTCGCGACCGCTCCTGCGCCTCGACGAGAGCCAGGTGGAATTTCCCAAGCTCCTCCGGCGCGCGTGCGAGTTCCCCATCGTCGACCCCCGTCACACGCTCGAGTGGGACGTGCTCATGCTTGTACTGATTACCTACGTGATGACCGTGACGCCCTTCGAGCTCGCCTTCGTGCGCGCGCCGTCGGTCCGCGAGGTCATCTACCAGCAGCGGCCCAAGTACGTCTGGATGTTCCTCGTCAACAAGGTCGTCGACGGGTTTTTCGTCATCGACATCTTCGTCTCGCTGCACACGGCCTACTTCGACAACGACCGGGGCGCGTGGATCACGGACAAGCTCGAGATCGCGAAGCGCTACGCGCAGTCGTGGCTCCTCATCGACGTTTTGTCCGTCGTGCCCTACGAGTTCGTGCCCCTGGACCGCTCCGCGGGCATCCTCAAGATGGTCAAGCTCGTGCGCCTGCTCAAGCTCCTCCGCGTCGCGCGGCAGCCGCGCATCATGGCCAAGCTCGCGGTCTACATCACCATGTCCGCGGCGCAGCAGATCGTCTGCAAGTTCTTCGTGGGGCTCGTCGCGCTCGTCCACCTGAGCGCCTGCGCCCTGCGCATCACGGACCAGCTCGTCAACGACGACTGCCACGTGCAGGACCATTCGTTCGAGGACCCGGGCGACGAGAATTGCCCGGACTACGTGCTCCTGCGCCTCGAGCGGACGTCGATCTGGCGCCAGTACGTCTACAGCCTGAAGTGGGCCCTCCAGACCCTGCTCGGGGACCTGAGCTTCACGGCGAACATCGCCGAGGAGGTCCTCGCGCTCGTCGTCGCCTTGGTGGGCGTCATCGTGCTCGCGTTCCTCGTCGGCGACATGTGCAACGCGCTCACGAACATGGACCCCGTCGGCAACGACTACCGGCTGACGCTCGACACGCTCAACTCCTACCTCGAGCAGTCGCAGATGCCCAAGGAGCTCCGCTTCAAGCTCCGCGAGTACATGGGGTCCACGGAGGGCATCTTCCGCGAGAACTACAACAAGGGGCTGCTCGCGCGCCTGAGCCCGGGCCTGACGGCCATCGTCGCGCACCACAACCTCGGCGGCTGCGTGCGGCGGCTGTCCTTCTACAACTACGCGCTCCAGCACGTCTACGGGCTCCGCGTGGGCGAGACGATCGCCGTCTTCGACGAGCTGGCGGACGGCGCCGAGGACGAGTTCGGGAGCGACGACCACGGCGCGTCGGCGGAGCTCCGGCGCATGACGACGGCCGAGGCGGAGCGGCGAGCGAAGCGGCGACGGTCGCTCTCCCAGGCCGCGGAGCACGTCAAGGCCCGCGTATCGAAGCGGCGGCACCGCGCCGCCGTCGAGGCCGGCGCGGGCTTTCTGCGGCGGACGTCGCGGCCGGCGAAAATCCTCGCCGTCGCCGTCGTCGCGGACCGCGTGGCCATGGCCGTGCGCTACGAGGACACGGGCGCCGTCGAGCGCGGCGTCGCGCCGGAACGCGTCGACTCGCGGTCGTACGGCAACGCCGCGCTCCACGCGCGCGTGGCCAAGTACATGTACGAGCGGGACCAGTTCGTCGTCGAGCTCGCGCGCGTCTTCGAGACGCGCCTCTTCATGCCCCGCGACGTGCTCGTGAGCAAGGACCTGAGCCTCAACGACGTCATGTTCTCGATCACGATGGGCAAGATCGCCGTCTGGGGGCGCCGCGCCGTGAACCCGATCCTCGACTTCACGCTCAAGCGCGTCCACGACACCATCGGCGACGACATCTGCATGCTCCTCGTCGGGTCGCGCAAGGCGCGGCGGCGCCACTACGCCGCGCGCGCCGTCTCCGCGGCGCAGGTCTTCGCGCTCGACGGCCGCCGCTTCGCCGCGGCCGTCGAGGGCTTCGACGTCTTCCACAGGGCCATCCGCATCTTCGGCTGCTGGCAGTTCGTCCAGTCGGAGATCCTCGGCGCCGCGCGGGGGTCGCGGCCCCGGCGGCCGGCGCGGCGCGAGGCGCCCGCGGTCGACGGCGCGCTCCTCCGAGAGACGCGCGCGCGCGCCGCGGCCTGCACGCACCGGCTCGTCGACGCCTGCGGCGCCCTCCACGCCGACGCGCCGCCGCCCAAGGCCTGGATGCCCCTCGTCGAGCCCCTGCGCCTCCTCGACGACGCGTTCCGGGCCATCGACCGCGGCGACGACTGGGTCGTCCCGGACGCGGCCGCGGCGCCCGCGCCCCGGCGCAACGTCCTCGGCCGCTCGGCCCACGCGCGGAGCCGCGCGGGCGCCGACGACGCCGCCGCGCCGGCCGGCGCCGAGCTCCTGCCCTACGCGGCCCCGCGCGCCGTCGCCGCGGCCTTCGCGCCGACGTGCGGCAACGGGCGCCAGAATTGCGCGTTCTAAGGCGATCGCCGGATCCATTCTTTGAATTAGATGTCGATGCTAGGCGGCGGGGCCTAATGCTTAACCATGCAGTGGATCAGAGGCAAGCTGGCTCCTGGCGTTCGTTCATCCATGCGGATGCTCGAGGGCGTGTCGTCGGGCCGGACTCGAGTCGTGTCGAAAATAAAGTGACACCTGGACATGTCCTTGTCGGCTCGCCGACAGTACCTGAACGTTTCGTGAGCGTTCGGGCGAATGTGTTGCTACAGCGGCGGACGCCGAATGCACAAGTCAAACACGCGCTCGAACTTCTGATCATTGCCGAGCGCAAATTGCCTGCGCGGGGAACGAAGCTCACCAAGGCTAGATTGCACGCGCTCTGCTGCGCTGCAGGCGCGCCCTGTTATCTTGCCAGTGCCGTCTCGGACGGCCAGTCTGATCGCGATCGCGTTCGGGCCCTCGCAGACCTCCTTGAGGGCTTCCGTGACCTCGTTCTCGACCATCAGCTCGACTTGCGCGTAATTTGCAGAATCGGCCAAGTCCAGCGTACGCTCGACCCAGGCCTCGTCGTATGGCGCGAAACTGTCGCAGAGGACACCCGTGACGCGGGCGTTGTCCAACAAATACTCGACGCGTCGCTTCGTGTTGGCCCTGGCTTTTGGGTCGCAGCCAAACTCCTTGGGCGCGCCGAGCATCTCTCCGACGGCGGAACCGGCCGCGACGAGGTCGAAGTCGCGGAGTACAAGTACAGTCGTCTTCTTCTTGTTTCCCGCGTAGGAGTACTTCGTGACCTTGATGAGCGCGTGGTTCTGGATGATCTCGTACGAGACCATCCTGTCGAAGCAGTCGCCATGCGCGAGGGCACAGGTCCACTGCACACCATCACTCAATAACAGTGTCAATATCTTCCGGTCCGCGTCGCGGATCATAATACTGTTCACCTGGAGCACGATGTCGCTCGCGTCCCACTCCCCGTCCGTCGAGAGCGCGGTCGCGATACCTCCGACCGTGAGCTTCTCCAGCCACCCGGCCTTTCGGTCCTCGGCCTCGGGCGCTCCGCTGACGCGCTTGAATTTGGCCGCCGGGTTCTCCGTGACGCGGTAGCGGTAGCAGCCGGGGCAGAGGTGGAAGGACTCGCCCTGGAGCCGGCGTACTCGCAGAGCCCGTCGGTGACGCTC